TCCCGCCCCTTTTCCTCTCCATCACCCATCTCCCTCTCCCCTCTACCTCTCCCCTCCCTCTCTCCCTCTCCCTTCCTCCCTCTACCTCCCTCCCTCTCAACCACCCCTCTATTTCTCTCTCTATGTTACAGATATAAAGATCCCATGGTTCGTCAACAATAAATTAAGCATTTATTATATATATATAAACATTTTGTATTGTGTGTGTGTGTGCTACACGCAATATTTGCAACTAACGTGTACAATATTCTATAAGTATTATTGCACAAGTGTATACATACATAAATGTACACATACGAACACACGCGCGCGCACACACACACATACACACATGCACGCACGCACACACGCACGTATGCACGCGCGCGCGCACGTATGTATGTATATATGCATGTATATGTATACAGAATGTCCCAGACCTACCATCAGACGCACCACCTGCTAATAGCAGATTCTTGAGATCATTGAAAGACGATTTTTTTCTTTAACAAAATGTCGCACAATAATTTCCGTGTTATAAGCGATTCATAAAAAAGGGCTTTTTGCAAACTGAACTTTATAAGGAGTTAAAACTACATTCATTACTTAATTTCAGATAGAATTTACTTTAATAGAGAGAGAGAGAATTTTAATTTAAGGCTTAATTACAAAGATACATGATGAAAAAAATTGGAAACTTGCAAAAAATAATGACTTCTCTCGACATTTTCGCTGAGAAAAAATCATCTCCAAATGATCTCAAGAATCTGCTATTAGCAGGTGGTGCGGTAGATCTGGGACATCCTGTATAGATATATGCGCGTGCGCAATATTTTCCGTTTATGAAATACAAGTATTCGGAATATCTTGTACATCACTAGAAATCTTATATTTTAATCACCTCACGTGTATACAATATTTTTTTTTTAATAGGAACACCAACAAATATAATTACTCACCGTATTGTGCTCCCTTGGCACCGACTTTCGACGTTTTAAGAGTTTCGACATCTTCTCAATCTCTCGGCTCTTGCTTCGCAGTTCGTCCATCTGCAAAAATTCGCAAAACTCGTTTGAATGCGGCAGATTTCTTGCGCGGCTACGTGTGGCGAAAGTTGCAATGAGAAAAATTAACATAGCCGGTGATCATGAGGAAGAATGGGATACACGGCAATGATGAAGAGAAGGGGCAATGATTGGTCCCTTTCGTACCGCTTTCGAGCTCTCACCGTGTCTCATCCCATCATGTAAGCCAGGCTTGTTAGGCCTCAGGGGCCTTTTGCTTTTACGAACCTTATCTATATAAGTAAAATGAGAAAAACGCCACATTATCAGCCACGCGCTTCCACCTCTTAAACTTAAATGTTCGCACGTGCGTTTTGTTCCGGTTACACAAATCGCACGATTTCAGAACAATGAATCATTATAGGAAATATTAAATTAAAGATTACCATGATTGTATGAATTATGACCTAAGCTCGTGACAACTATCTGTACAAGTGAGCAGAAAAAGCATTTCTTCAACATTCAAAAAGACTTTTTATTATTGTTCATAATTATCATACTCTTTCAAAACAATTAATTTTAAAACTTGCGAATTTTGTTGATTTTTAAAAAGTCGTATCTCGAAAGACAATTTTTCTAAGTGCGTTTTAAAGATTAAAGATTTGATCTTTTTTTAAGTGACTAGAGTAACAGTTTTTTTCCGCCGCGTCAAGCTGTGTTTTTTCAAGACTATAATTAGGTTGTGCAAAAATTTCACAACTTTTTGGCCTTCTGCAGAAAAAGTTATCCTTGTATTTTGCAAAGTTTCGGCTAATTATAAGTACCGTCAGCATTCGCAATTTCCGATTTTCACAAAAGGACAATTTAATGGAGCGGAAAATATCATCCTAGTCACCTTAAAAAATCGAGGCTTCCCCCTTTAAAACGTATCCAGAAAAATTGTCCTACGATCCACCAAAACTGAGATACAACCTTCTAAAAATAAAGAAATAAAGAAATTTGCAACTTTTAATGTAATCTAATAATTTTTAGTAGTGTATAATATAATATTGCTCATAATTATTATAATAACAATCGCACTCTGTTGATGAATCATTCAATTTTTGTTAAAATATGAGAAAATATTTTCTTTCATTCTATTGTGTGCGTAGCATGTATTTTCAATTCTGATCCCTGAAAGATTCTATTACAGTTTATATACTTTTATAATGATTATCGTCTGGTATTTAAATTAATTTTCATTAAGATTTCATTGAGCAAATAAAATTCATGACTCTACTTTATTTTTGTTTGGTCGCTCCATATACCAAACCAGCTCAATCTCTTTTCGTTACGATTTTGGCTCGTCGCCAAAAGATGTGGTGATCGTATGAGTTCGCATCGGCAATGCGGCAGGCAATTTCGTCAAACATCACTGTACGATTTCAATGTAGTAAATGTAGTATGTTAGGAAGCGGGAAGTCTCTCTTATGCATCCCAACGCTCTACACGCGAATAAGCATTTTGAAGTAAATATAGAGTCTGATGTGAGATAAGCAAACAAGCGACAAAAATTTTTTAGAAATAATTCAAAATAAATTGTTGGGAGTAGATACCATTTCTATGCCGATTTGATAATAATTGGTAATATGATTCATTTACAAGCAAAAATGCAAGATAAAATTATACTAGAAATAATTTTGAAAAGTATCGAAAAAAAGAGAAATCTTTATGATTCGTGCTAAAAGCATAATAATATTAGATATTTTGTTTCCATTTTGACTTATAATTTAGATACTCTATCTAGTATTTTTATATATACATATAGCAATTACACATTTAATTATTATACATAAACTAATATCGCATTTGTATGATAAATTTGCAATATTCTTCATACATTATACTTTGTCCCTGACGAAGTTGAATCAACAAAGTAAAATAAATTAAGAAAAAACACGAGTTTACACTTTTATATAAATATTTATCTGCTTTACATAAGATATAGTAAAAGATTGGTTAAAATTTGATAGTTGGTAACATTCACATCGCGACAATAAAAGGATTAAATTTAAAAGTCGGTTATTTTTATATTTCGAAAGAATAATATGTAATTTCCCGTATCCGTATCCGCATATAAAGGGCCCTGCAATTTGCAAACTGTCGAATCATACAAAAATTCCAGAATCCAAGAATAGCGTGAGAAAATCATCGTGACCATTTTAATTTCACGGCAAAGGTATTCATCTTTTTCGTCGATATTCTACACTATACTATACACATTCACCGTGTCGGTAAAACTTTTGTCCGTACAAGCCATTAGATCGGACTGTTGCATTCTGGACAGACTCTTTTCTAGTTAGTGTAGACTAATACCGCAGGGTACAATTTTTTAATAAGCTTTGAATAGTCTCATCGCGCTGACGCTCGTGTTTCAGAAGGATATTTTTACATGCCTGAAAGATAGGTTGCTCGCAGAGTGAAATTACTACTTTTGCTTCGGGCAACATTATAATCATATAATTATCAGGAATTATTAAATTGTTTAGCGATAGTGCTATCGATACTTCCGATATTTAAACATTATGCACTTACCATTTTTATAGTTTCGTTGCGAAGCGATTTTCGTAATGCGGAAAGCTCTGTTTCATGATTCTCTCGTTGAACTCGTATCTCAACAATACGAGTCTTCTCGACATTTAGAGCGATCTAAATATAAAAATAAAGTAATTATTTACATTTACATCAACGGACATACTCGCCGATGATCTTGACCTTCATATATGTTGTAAGAGTGAGGTTGTTGATTAATATTCACTTTGTTTGATTTGGCGCTCTCGTATTGTTTTTAAGATATATAATGAAAAAGATTTTTGAATAAAACGTAATTTTCTGATACTATATACATTTAATAGAGCGTACTCTTAGCAGATTTATTTATTTAAATGTGGCAAATAAAATGTGTGGGCGGGGGAGGAGCGAAGCCCTTTCTGAATTCTCTGATTTCACATTAAAATAAGGTTTGGGTTAAAATTTTTTAGGGTGGGAATGCGGGGAGAGAGACGGAACCCGTCCCCCGCCCACGCGTAAAAGTCATAACTTTTTGTATTTTTATAATTTCAATAAAAGATCTAATTTTCCAACTCTCTATTCAAAATTTTTATCATTCTGTATATTTAATAATTAAAAATAGGAAATACATATATAAAAATAAACGTCTTTTTAAGTATAGTAATATATTTTAAAGTTATTCTGATAGCGGATATAATTTACACATAATATCAAAAAATGATCTTATTGAATAATGTAGACACTCGAAATACATTGTAAACAAATATCTGATACAAATAGTTTGTATAGATGACACTTATTAGGTGTATAGGTGTTTATTAAATAAATTACGTTTTATTCAGTAAACCTTTTTCGTTAAGTATCTCAAAAACTATACAAGACCGCCAAATAAAACAAAGTGAATATTAATCAGTAACCTCACCTTTACAACATATATGAAGGTCAAGATCATCGGCGAGGTGTCCGTTGATGTAAATAATCATCAAAAATAATTCTTAAACAAAAAGTAATTCTAAAACAAAAAGTGAAATATGAAAGAAGATATAATTTAATATATTGTAAACGTAATAGATTAATAACAAATCTTAAAAAAGATACTTGTTTTATTGAAATAATTTATTTGATATTAAAAGATAAGATTTTTTTTTTAGTAAAAATAAATCTTTATCCATTTAATTTTTTTTAGAAAGAAAAGTAAAGAAAAGTAAACTTCAAATTTACCAATAAAAATTGAAAACATTGTAGATATTTCCATATCTGCCATGACAAAATGTAACATTTTTAAGTTTAAGAGTTTAATGCAGAATTTTCTTACACGCAATTTTTCTTCGAGTTTTTCGTTTTCGGCATGAAGAGTTCGTATTTCTGCTTCTAAACGACGTACGTCGTTGTAGGAAGAAATACTATTAGTATTGCGAGTGGTGTTCGTTCGTGATTTCATGAATTGCCCTTCGAATTTCCGTATCGTACTCTCAGCTTCAGCTAAGTTTTTCCTGAGAGTCGATAGTTCACGTCTGTGATTTTCGTTCTTCACGGAATCCGATTTGAATGACGGCAATGACAACGGCGGCACGAAATGAGCGATTCTGAATAAAAATATTGCTTTCAGCATTTTTATTCAGCATTTATAATTAAATAATCTTCACGGTTCAATTCTAAGTTACAAATTGATTATTCGATTATTTTGATACAAATATCAAGATTTGAAAATCAAAAATAACTATTAGATAAATAAAAAATAAAAAATTTAAGATATAGAGATATTCAGCTTCACTCTAGAGTCTAGACTCTAGACAAACCATAATACTCAAGATGTACCTACTTATTCTTCAGCTCGGTTATGATGGGTTGATACTTGGCAGCCTCGGCGATTCTAGCTTCCCTGAGGGCAGCTTCAAACTCCCTTTTGGCAATCTTTGCTGCCCTCCGCTCTTCATGTAACTCCGTTCGCACGTTCGCCAGATCTTCGCGTAACCTTCGCGCTCCATTCTCTAGCCATTGTATCGTTTTCCTTAATCTAGTGGCATCACTCCTTTCCACATCTGTTTCGCAAGATCGTGATGTTTTTGCGTCCTGCGAGTTCACTGGTATAGCCCGATACAATTTTTTCCTGAAACGTGGCAATAATGAGATTTTTCTGTCTTCTATATCTTCAGCTTTTTTTCGCTGAGTATCTCACTGAAAGATAAAAATTAAATTATGCTCTAGAGTGTGTATTATTATTGAGTGTGTGTATCACAATTTGAAATAATACTTATTGATTGATGAAGACAAGTTTATATCTTTTCTCGTCTTTTCGGCATTATTTAAAAAATATTGTACTGATTGCTAAAGTCAATATTTTGCTTGTGCAATAGTGTTTAAAATAGAGCATAAAAACATTTTCCAATTTTTAAAAGTCTATTAAAGGTTTATTATATCAAATTTTCTAAAATATGAAAATATTCAAATGACAAATTACCCTTTCTTGCATAATCAGAACTTTTCTTTTCATTTCATTTCATTTAAATATATGCATAACAAATTTTATTAGCTATATTATCATTGATTTTTTGCTAATACTCTAATAACTGAACAGAAGAAGCATTTCTTATAATACGCGTGAAATTTTTTAAATTCTGGTAAATATTCTTACAAATCGCAATTGCACGGCTCGTCACATCGCTGCGTTTTCTTAGGGATTTCCGAGTTCGTTGTCAGAGATTCTAATCGTCTTCGTTTTCTTACACCTTCCATGGGTGCAAGAAGATTGATTTCAGTCGTCGTTGATTTATTCGTGTTTGTCGGCTTGACGGTATGTCCCTCTGAGGAGTTTGCCATCGTCGCTAAAACCGTAAGTATTTATAAACTTGTTCAAGCATATATATGTATATACACGCACGCACGCACGCACGCACGCACGCACGCACGCACGCACGCACGCACGCACGCACGCACGCACGCACGCACGCACGCACACACACATACACACAAAGAGTAGACCAACAAAATGTTTCTACTTTACTTATTTTGTAATTGACTAACTTGTATGAAAAAAGCCGAAATATGGCAATTTTGTTTTCAAAGGGGATACTTAACCATGATAAATTCAACCATGATATTTCATACTTTTCACTGGGAATAGCTGTCCCTTCAAAAATTTTAAATGGCAATAGGAATCTCAAGTGGTACATTATTTTAAAGGACTTTTATTTCTTACTGTGTGAAAATATAGATACTATTTTTAAAATAAAGCTGTAAGTTTAGAATAGGTTTAAAATAAAGCCTCTTACATATTTTCTTTATTTTATATAGGGTGTCGCAGATCAAGTACATCTCCTTTTAAGTAAAGATTGAGATTATAATTTTAAATATTTTAGAAATTTGTGCAACGAAATAGTATCAAAAATTTTGCATAAGCAAAACAATCTTTAGTTTAAAGTTTCACATTACAAGAGGCTTCGCATTATGTTTAAAAAAAAAGTCTTTTAAAGAGATATTTGATGAAATGTCTTACTCATTTCAGCTTACGACCGCAACCAGCTTAAAGTCATTGAAGAATGAAGATCACAATGAATAAACTTACCGTTTTTGTAAGAACGTAAGAATATCTTAACCGACCTGTTAAACTCGCAAGATATATTGAATCCGATACGGGCGGTGAAAGAGACCCTCCTCACAAGAGATACCGTCGCCAACTAAAAGAGGCCGAGATCCTAAACTACACCACAGCTTGTAATCGCTATATATGTCAACTACGTCATCTCATCTCTTTGGCTCTATTTAGCTCTCATCTCTCCAGTTTCTTCACCATTCACCTACGCTAAGTTTGACTGCTTATTCGAGTCCGCTTTTATTCGCATAGACTTCGTATTGATCGTGTATCCGGTCATTATCGACAACATATCTCGATCAGAAAAAAGATTTATCACATTTTAGTGTAAACTAATTCGCTAATAATTTAATGTAAACTAATTCGTGAGAAATTGATAATAGAACGCTATACGTTTTAATAACGTGTATTTATATTGCAAAAATATAATATGTAAACATATTATCAAAATCAATGCTCAATTACAATGACGCTTAGAAAACTATGTGAAAATCTCAGTAAAAATAACGTACCAAGTAAGCTCACAATTGTGTACGAATCGCACGCTCAATGAAGAATATTCAAAAGTAATTCGCAGCAGTTGGGTGTTTCATTACGATGTAAAGCATTACGCAATATATTACATACATAATCCCCAAATTTAAATAAAGTAATTAGTTAAAATGTATTTTATAAAATATTTATATAAAACATGTATTATATTATTATATAACATTATTAACAATAAATGTGTAATATAAATTTAAATTTTATAATTGAGAGTGTATGTGTGTGCATGTGATGCATTTCACATGCAATTAGAAAATCTTTTCCACAAAATATTTGTTTTTTTTTTTTAATTAATCAGCATTCTTGTTAGTTTAAATAAAAGTTATTTGACGTTATTTGACGTTAACACTACAAAATAAAAAAGTAAACGCAAAATAAATGTGTGTACGTACATATACGGAAAAAGAAATGTCTTAATACATGAATTTATGCACATATTAAAGCAAATATTCATTTCTCATATACAGGGTGAGTTTTGTAAATTGAGACATTTAAATATCTCGAAAACAACACATTTTTGAAAAGAAAGTTTGAAACAAAAGTAGTTTGGTTTTGAAGGGCAAATATAACAGCATTATTTATTTCTGATTCGGTGGACGTTTTCAAGGTTATTTCAAGATCAACTTTATTTTTTTAAATGATCTTACCGTAATACTTTTATGTACAGAATAATGAGACAAATCAATCGGTATAAAGAAAATAATTGTTTTTAAGGAAAAGTATGGACTTATTTACAATGTATTTTTTTTAACAATTATTTGTTAATTTTTTTACAGCAATTGATTTGTATCATTATCCTGTACATAAAAGTATTACGGTAAGATTATCAAAAACTAAATATTTTATGAGATATTTTATTTTTATATCAAAATATGTCAGATTAAGATATAAAATAACTCAACAAATAATGAAAAAATACTTTATTATAGTGTTCTGAAGAGATCTCAAGAAGGGTTATAAGAATATACAATAAAAAATAGAAGATTTCATTTAAAAAAAAATAAAGTTGACCTTGAAATAATCTTGAAAACGTCCACCGAATCAGAAATAAATAATGCGGTTATGTTTGCCCCCCAAAACCAAACCACTTTTGTTTCAAACTTTCTTTTCAAAAATGCGTTGTTTTCGAGATATTTAGATGTCTCAATTTAAAAAGCTCAACCTGTATAGTCTGTATGAATATATATCTCGAATATGTATGGGGACGACGTGAGATATTCGCGAATCATTTATACTCACGATTCGCTGTGCCAATCCGTTCCATCTTAGATTTGTACACGTTTAATGTAAAAACGTTCACTCTGCCTTTGATTCGCGTGAGTGAAATTTTTGGAGACCTCGTTAAAATATGTACCTTGTACTTATGTTATATACCTAGATTTGTTTGTATTTTGAAGGACCGTTCTCATAAGCGTTAAAGTTATAATTGAAGTTCAAGCTCTTCATCTCTTTCTGATTTTACTTCTAAAGACATGAAGATGTAGGAAAATGTAATGTTTATGAGAGCGATTTGAAAATAGAGTTGGTGAAAAATGTTTCGGATGTTGGATAGATGGGTTCAGTGCGAAGTTTGTGCTTTGGTTGACAGTTTATATATTGATATACGTTATACAATTTGATATGTCGCGTCTTTCAAAGTGTGTGTGTGTGTGTGTGTGTGTGTGCGTGCGTGCGTG